TCTCCGGGTGGCGGAAGGTCGCCAGCAGCGTCCTCTTGGCATATCGGCTCCTGGCCGCAGCGGCTCTCATCTATGTGGGGACCCCCCGCAAAGGGCCTGCGAATTCTGCAATATATCTAATATACTATAGTATAGTATAGTATAATATTTTATTTAATTATGTTATATAATATATTTTAATATAATGGCTTAGGGCCATGCGAAGCGGTTTTTCTCGATGTGGTCTCGAAGGGTTTGAGGGCAAGGTCGCCAGGAAGTTCTAAGCTGAACTCGCATTCGTAGGACCTTCTTCCTGGTCTACACCATCGACGTCACAGAGCTGATCCTGAACGCCGTGGCCCCAGCATTTTGGCCAAGCGACGGGCCAGAGGAAGCCACGCCAATTCCCGATCGAAGCGCCCTCAGGCGGTGGCGCTGGCCATCATCCTCGACATCGACGATCTGCTCTTCGATGCTGCTCAGACTTCTTTCATAGCAGTGGCGATCGTCTAGTTCCGCAGTTTGCGCGAGTCCCGAGGCCTTGGCCACAACTCCGGGGCGGCACCTGGTGAACCAGATGGATCCCTTGCCCATGAAGTCCTGGCCACGGGTCCGCGGTGCGGACGTAAAGTCCATGTCGATGTTGGTGTTGATCCCTGTCACCATGATGACCGTCTACGTGAACATGCTGGTCCCAATGGTGGCGACCCTCGACAGCGCGAAAGACGCCATGTGCGGAGGGAATTTGCAGTTCGTGTGGAACACGGACCAGCGCAACGTGATCCTCTTCAGCCCGACGCAGGGAGACGGCTGGAAGGTGGGGGGCTACGAGTTGCAGTCCAAAGCCATCGATGAAGCCGAAATGCTGAGCCTCAGTGATGTGAGCTCCGGAACTGCCTGGGGCGTTTGGCTCGGCAGCGTGGATGCCCTGACGGAGACGTCGATTTTACCCCTGGAGCAGTCCGTGGATGTCTTTAACCCAAGGTGTGCCGACTTGGGTGACACAGAGCCGTTGAGGAACTACCTGCGTGAATTTCTAGGCAACGAGAGCCTGATGGGCTGCGGCGACGCTCGGCCCTACTGCGGCTTGATGGATGGGAGCAAGGGGAAGGGCTTCGCTGCGCGGATGCTCTGCTCGGACACCTGCGGCTGCAACGATCCAGCCGGAGAGGTGATGCAGATTGCAGGCTGCCCCTATGGTCTGGGCCGGTCCTGTTGGTCTTCCAGTAGCTTCTTACAGGGCCTCCGCGATTCCACGTGCGAGGAGAAGACGGCGGCAGAGCTGCGCAATGACACGAGATGGTCCAGGTGGGTGGAGTCTATTCGGGCGATCGGGGAAGCGAATGACACCGTGACCGAGGGAAAGGAGGAAGCCCTCCTCACAGCACAGGCGATGTGGGATCATGGCTGTGCCTTCGGTGAGAACCTCACGCAGATGAATGTGACATGGGGATCCTGCTTTTCTTGGCGATTTGACTGGGGCCTGAAAACCGTGGAAGCCTTCTGCCCAAGCACCTGCGGCTGTGACTCTTCCAATTTGGACAACTCCTGCCCAAGGCCTGCGGGCCGGAATTGTGGGACCATCGCTGAATGCGTTTTCACGAGCGGCAGGTATTACTGCCCTGACGCGTACCCCAATTTTGACGGGATAGCTGATGTCCACCTCGACGATGTGGATGCCTTCGTGCAGTCTCGGACCCAAATCATGAAGGCCCTTCAGAAGACCTTGGCGAGTCTGACCGGGAATGGGGTGTTGCCGGAGCATGTGCTGATCACCCAACGCGCATCTCCAAGTGGCCAAATACGTTTGGCCCGGCGGCTGGCGAAAAAGGAGTATGAGTATACAATCTTCCTGCTATCAGAGGATGCCAACGAAACCTCAGCCAGGGATGCCCTTGGATGGATGACGACGAGGACCCAGCGGGTGAACACCGTCTTCAGCCGGAACCTTCTGGCATTTGGGATCCCGGCGGAGGGTGCAGACTTGGAAGTTGAAATCTCTGCGAAAGGCAGCCCACCGGGTGAGGCACCGACCACCACCGCCCTAAACCCTAAACCCTAAACCAGCACCGCCTCGACTTCCCGCACCGAAAGCGACCGACCCTCCGGCCCAAGGGTTTGAGGCTTCGGCTCGAAGCCCTGGCCTCCTCAGGGCCTTCTTCTTTGCTGCGTTTTGAGGCTTATTCTCTGCTTTGGTGTTTTGAAACATCCCCCCTCCCTTGTTTTTTGCGGGGGTTTGGCTGTAGTTCGGTGGCTGCGTTCCGTAAAGATCGAAGCCACCGTCCCGGCAAGAGCCGCTGTCCTCTGACAACCGCACGAATCATGCAGGCTCTATGCTTTCGTCCTGGAACCCTAAACCCTAAACCCTAAAAAGCCTAAACCCTAAACCCTAAACCCTAAAAACCCTAAAAACCCTAAACCCCACACCCCCCCAAAAAGCCTCGGGAACAGGCCGGGTCCTGGCTTTCCCAAGGCTTTAAGCTCAGATAAGATAGGGGCCTTCATAATTAGAATGGGCTTTGGGGTATATTATACTATTAACTATAGTAAGGAACCCCCCCCAAAATACTATTGGTATTTATTTGGGCCCCTATTTTACTTGAGGCTCCGGGTTTCGAAGTATGGCTAGGAGTTTAGGGTTTAGGGCAGTTTAGGGTTTAGGGTTTTGGGGTTTAGGGCTTAGGGGTTTAGGCTTTAGGGTTTTAGGGGTTTAGGGTTTAGGGTTTCGGTCGGGTGTCAGTTGCACGGCCACGACAGTCTCAGAGGGAGCGGGAGAGACACCACCGGCTCTTGATTTTGTCTGGGTTCTTATTAGGGAACTTAGTGTGGGTACCGATAAGAAGGATAGCATGTCATCAACTTGCCTATGTGTGTCAGCTTGAATGTGCGCAACACGAACCCTGCTGCCTCCTCGAGTCTTTCTTTTCCCAAGCATGCCGGGTTGGCAGCGAAGCTGCGAATCCTGGCTGTTCCATCTGAATCTGCGTTGTACAGTAGTAAAACTCTACCGGGCACTGGTGGCTGCGTTGGCAGTTGCAGTTTTCCACAACGGGTTCATATGCAACGATGCATCGCATGTCTGTGCAGAGAAGTGTCCACTGCCGCCGCTGTCCATAGGAAGCGCTTGTGCAGCGACCTCCGACCTCATGAGTCTCAATGCTGGCGAGGTGCCGCTTGAGATCCAACACACGCTCCGGATGTCCACGCCGAAGCCAAAGCTGTGAGCCTCGTTGGTTCACTCTTTCAAGTCCCGGAGTTGTAGACGGGCAGTCTGCTTGAGAGTTTCGCGGCCGCTGGCGATGAAGAAAGCTCTTGCGTTCCTGCTCTTCGGGCTTGGCTTGTAGGACTCATTAACAGAGCATGGGGGCAGTAGCTTCTCACGGTGGACACGACATCTCCGACGTGTTGTCGAGGATCATCTCAGGAGGTTGTCAGCTCTAACTGGGAAACCCTGAACCCTAAACCCTAAACCCCAAACCCTAACCGGTCTTTGGTGGGGAATAATTAAGGACAAGCGTTCGCAGCCCCGGAGATTCGCTGGCCCGGTAGGACCCGCGTTTTCGACAGACCCGGAAAAGGAGACTTCCTCGATCAGATCGCAGCGGTGGCCTCAGAAAGGGGACTGCTGACGTGCACGGGAAGCCCAGCTAAGCAGGAGTAAAACATGAGCATCAGCTCTTTAAGCCCTAAACCCTAAACCCTAAATCCCAAAGCCTGAAGCCCTAAACCCTAAACCCTAAATCCTAAATCCCAAAACCTAAACCCTAAACCCTAGGACCCTAAACCCTAAGCCCTAAAGCCGCGAAAGGAACAGCATACCGGGGCCAGGCCCCTCTTACACTTAAAGCAGAACGAAGTGCAGCCTTTAAGCTATGGAGCTCTTACAGATCCCTTTTGGGTGAAGGGTTTAGGGTTTTGGGTTTAGGGTTTGGGGTTCAGGGTTTTTAAGAGGATTTCCTTCCAAGAGAAGGCCTACTCTAGTCGCTTCCGATGGCTCCCATTCTCCCAGAATCTGCCAGCTGCGATGTTTGGGGCCTTTCGATCGGATCTGAAGGGGTCCTGTCTGTCTCTTGTCCCTAAACCCTAAACCCTAGACCCCAAACCCTAAACCCTAAACCGTGTCTGTTTTCGGATGCTTCCTGAGATTCGTTGCGTCGTCGCTCCGTGGGCTTTCTACTTGATGAGCTTGCTGTAGTTCGTCTGCTGCCTTATGAAGTCATGAACTTGACACGCGGTGGCATTTCAACAAGCCCTAAACCCTAAACCCTAAACCCTGAACCCTGAACCCTAAACCCTTTTAGGTCTGCACCATCGATGATGCCGTGGACCCAGCTTCGGGGCCAAAGCAACGGTCGATGTCCGGCAGTAGCTAGACTCCAGTTACACGAGCTGGCCGGTGCTGTTTGAGGAGGGCCTGGGTTCAGAGCATGTGGGTTTGAACCAAAATACCTGGAGCAAATGCGGCGCACAAGTGCGCCTTGAGTGCAGAAGTTTGGGAGGCTGCCAGCAAGCCTCCGCCACCGTCCAAGGTGCTGAAAAGGTCTATATCAAGTGCATGTTAACGAGTGCCTGGAAGAAGGACATGCATCAACGTTGCATCGATCCTAAACTTGTTGGGCTGGCATATCTTTCCCAATGCTTGTTCTTTGCACGGAAAATGCTTGCAGGGGGCACTCGGGCTTCAGAATCTTTCTCCCTCCCGAATGCAGGAATGATCCCTAAACCTCATGGCAGCATGAAGCCCATGAACCGTGAGCTGCACATTCTTGATATTCTGCCTGTGCGACCGCACTTGGCCTTGGGAAGCGGTCGTGTGATGCACATGTTGTCCCATGGCCACAGTGCACTCAGAGTGCAAAGACAGCCGGTATCTGTTTCAGAGCTCACTGAGGCCAGGGCCGTGTCTAGATCTTGGGTCGTGATCGCCCAGGACCCGACTGCTTTTCGGAAGCAGGTTGTGCGCCTCATGCTGTGGTGGGCGGCTAGAACGGCAGTTCGGAGCAATCATGCTGGATGAAACTTGTCGTGATGTCAATGTGGGCCTGAGTCCAACTGCAGGCCTTCATGGATGATGTGTCCCGGAGCTAGATGGCGGCTCAAAGCCCTTAAAGCACATGTTGCGAGACGACTCATCATTCGACGCCTCATCTTACGGAAGCTGTGCTCCGCGCGATTTTTCGTTCCAAAAGCTTCAGAAGTTACTGAGAGCAGCATGTGCCATGCAGATGCCAGGCGGCAGTATTCTGAAGCACACATAGTTAGTTCCGCAAGCGTGGGCCCCATGTCTTCGAAGGTGGAGCATGACATGCAGGTGCTGCAGGACCGTCTCTGACACACTTTTCCCTTGCATTTAGGGTTTTAGGGTTTAGGGTTTAGGGTTTTAGGGTTTAGGGTTTTTAGGGCATCTGAGTCAGCAATCTGGCGGAAGATGCAGACAGATCAAAAAAGAAGCACCATTTGCCTGCCTGCAAGCACCCTCCCATGCATGCCAGGTCGCGATACTGCAGCCATAGTTGCAAGGAAGGAAAACGAAGGGTGCTTTGCCCGAAGCTTCCCCAACCAGGCCGCAGACAGACTTTCAAGCTTGAGCTCTGGAGGAGATCCATGAGCATTTCGATCATCTCGAGGCTCCGAGCTAGCACTTTCATCTCGACACAGCGTATCCAGAGAATTCTGTCACCATGGACTTCGAGTTCTTTTCAACCCTAAACCCTAAACC